TAGTTGAAATATATAGAGTGAAATATAGAGAGTGAAATTAATTACAGTATTCTTACTATATCCCTAGAAGAAAATCACCTGACTGTTAAAACCCTGGTGTAGGCTACCAACATAACCTTATTGTATTTATGAGCATCCAGCTTATTTCAACTAGATTTAGAAGATGTTCTTAATAAGCGATATTTACATTTCTCAGTAGAGTTGACAAAGTACTTCACAAACACAGGTTCATATTTCCCATTCAACAGGCAGCATACTTATTTATTTAACCTTAAGTTCAAATATAGCAATTTACACTGCATCTGTAACTCACAAATTACATATATCTTAGCTCCAAAAGTATCTGTAAGTTGATTGCTAGAGCTATACATGATCATATTGGAATAGATCTTTCGGTTCCTTCTACAGACCAACAGTTTGGGCAGGAGTGAGGGATTGGCTTGTGAAAATCTATATAAGAACCCTTGTATTATAACCTCCTCTGTCTGTAGACTGCTTTAAAATGAGTCTGGTTTCTTTCCATGTACTTTATCTGTGAATTAGGAAGGCCTCAGACAGAATGATACCATTTTATAAACAAGGAAATGAGGCTCAAGAGAAATTGATTTGCCCAAGTCATTGAGCAAGGACATTGCAAAGGCTGAACTTGGACCTGGGTCTTCTTGCCTCAAAGCCTTTGCCCTTCCCAGGACCAGGGCTGGGCCTCCTGGTTTGAAGTTGTTGCTAAGGTCAAAAATAGACAAGGGCACATGATGGCTGCAAGCTGTTACCTTTTATTTCTTTGTTTATTTGACTTTTCCCTGAAGGGTTTTAATGAGCTTTTTGGTGATGTGGCCAGTGTTTTGTGACCTCTCAGGGGTGATGTGAAGTTACACACTCTATTTCCAGAGCCCCCAGAAACTTTTCTTCTGAGTGTCTTTAAGGGTATTGAACATCTCTGAGAGCAGCTGAACTAAAATCTTCAGATAGCTTATCTGAAAAAATCTTGCCATTGACAGAATCACAGTGATGGGTACAAGGGTCTTCCCAGGCCTTATTTCTCTCCTTTCTACTTCTCCATCTTTCTGCCTTCACTCACATGGTGGCATTGGCTCCGTTCCTTGTTTCTCTGCACCATGGATAGTGCTGTGCTAGACATTGAGATACAAAAGCAAACAAAACAGATTCAACCCCCCGTTTTCATACGCGCCCATAGAGGCTGGCATTCCAGGAAGGGGGACAGGTAAATAAGGGAGAGGAGTAAGCAAAATCAATAGAGATATACTGCATTGGAGGAAGGGTGAGGAGGGGGTGGGAAATTGTGCTTAAGAAAGAGTGTTCAGAAAAGGAGCCATGACTCTGGGTAGGTGACATTTGATCTGAGACATAAAGAAGACAAGGAAGCAATTCAGGTGGAGTATGAACAAGTGCCAAAGCCCTAAGAAGAGAGTGAATTTGCTTGTGTCCACAGAGTATTGAAGAGCCCAGTGTGGAACCCAGTAAACAAGGAGTAGAGGGGTGTGTGAGAGGACAAGAAAGGGACAGGGGTGATTCATGCAAGTTTGGATTTTTTTCTAGAATCAATGGAAAATCATTGCAGCATTTTAAACAAAGAAGTGATATAACTAGGTTTATATAGATTTATATTTAACTAGGTAGATAGATGAATAGATAGCTTTGATATAGATAGATAGATTAGGTATATAGACTTCATAGAGATAGATAGATAAATAGATAGATAGATAGACAGATAGACAGACAACAGATAGATTTAATAGATATAGATATAAATGGCTGGTGGTTTAAAGAGGCAAAAGTAGAACCAAAGAGATGAGACTTGACTTGAGGCTGTTGTTGATTTGGTTCTATTGGTTGAAATACTGGTTGGTGATATTAGGATGGTGGTAGTATGAACTGAGTGAAGTGGACACATGTAAGAATTGATCTGTAATTTCTGATGGATGGGATGTGGGGAAACAGAGAGCATCATGACCTGATTGCACTATTGTCCACTTTGGCCAAGGATGGGTGGTGTGAAAGGTGACTGAATGCGCAGATCACTCATAAACATGGCAGTCATAACACATTTTCCCATAACTCCTCTGAGGTCGCTGGGAATTGCTCTTCTTCCTTCAGGGAGTGCTTAGCCAGCTCTGAGGACATGAGGTCACTGACCTTCCTGGCATATCTGTTGAAAGAGTAACGCTAGAGTCCACATCTCCTTTAATGACCTTGTGTCTAAATTGGAGTGTCACACAAGGGCGTGTTCAGAAATTTGCATTTGAAAAGAAGCTTTCTTGCTTTCAGTTTGAGCTGACATGGTCCCTTTTCCTCTGTGGAAATGAAATTTATTAATCATAATAAAACCATTGGATTCTGAAGGTAGAGGTCACCCCGAGGAGAAGAGGCGCCTGCTCATTTATGAGGAATAGTTGAGCACTGCTGTATTTTAATTCTGCCGTGGAAGAAAATGTTGCCAAATTGTTACCTTGGGCTTTCCACAAAGGTTGAAGCTCTGCCCAGTGTTATAAACAAATAAGAATTTACAATTAAAGTATGTAGGAGGAGAAGGTGGGAGTACGTTTTCATGCAGTACATTCAGGCTACCAATATGTCACCTCCCCAAAAGAGAAAATTTTGCCATAGTAAAACCATTCCCCAAATTACATTTTGAAAACCAATTGATCTGAATTTGCATCTTCACCCTCCTTTTGAAGGAACACCATGCTGTGGTATCACTTAGTACATTTCCAAGGGTTTCCAGTTTTTGTAGTTTATGTCTTGTTCATACAGTGAGCTTTGCTGGGTGAAAGTGCATTAAAAATAATCTTATTAACAGTGTTTTTTCCCCTCTAGACTATGAACTTTACTTTCTCATAAAATAAAAGTCAATGACAAAGTTATATCTCATGTTCTTTTATACCTATTAATATCTACCTCTAATTTTACGTGGATCAAGGCCCAGGTTTCATGAGTGACCTTCCTGAATAAGTGATTTCTTCAAAAAAAATTGTCATTGTTCTTCTTTTAACATACCCTCTGTCTTGGACTTCCATCTGTTTTTCCTTCCAGAGAGAAGGAGAATCTTTGAAGGCCATTTTTTGATGAGCCAACAGACTAGGGAGCATCCCAAGGAATGAAATGCAAGGGGCAGGGTTGACTGTTTCACAAGTTTCCCCCCAGAAAAGAAATATCCATTCATGTCATTTTGGCGTTGAAGCCAAAAGCTTCATCTGGATTATTTGAGCTCAGTGCCCTTTGAAACAGGCAAGGAGGGTTTGGGAATAAGACCTGTCCAATGAGAACTGATAGAATCACTTCTTACTTCCACTTGGAGTCTACCTCAGAGCCTCAGAGTTAGAAGCTTCTTCACCCAGCTTCTTCCTACCTTTCCAGGCTCTGTGATGTAAGCAATAATGTCAGACCATGGTAATGTACTACCATCCAGTACATTCTTATCTATCAGCTATGAGCAAGAAGATTGAAAGCAAAATGGAGAAAAGATAAGAAGGGAGAGGAATAAAATGTATGCAAATTAGACTCCAGGAGATGGGCAGTGGCTTAAGGTTGATCGTAGTTGATACTACAGACAAATCATTTCTGCATGCCTTGTTCCTTCATTCTTTAAAGAAAAGTCTAAGAGTCAAAAGCTGTTGATAATCCACATACTTCCCATTTAGTGGCTGGTACATCCATCCCCCAGCTGCTGTTGCTAATGGTGCTCAGCCACGCCCTTTTTCAGGGGATTACCCTCTGGCCAAGAAAGCCACTTGAACTCAGAAGCCATCCTGCACCCCTCAGGAAGACCCAGAGCTAACGCTTAACCTAAATGAGCATTAAAAAACCCCACCCATTTACCTCCAGGTGGGAATTAAGTCTAGGTTACAACTCATGGGATCAGGTCAAAGCTAGTCTGTAGCTCAGACCATTTCTATTTATCCCTTGCTCTGGAACTGCATGCCTCTTTCTCCTTCCCCTTCTTCATATGCACAAGAATCTCTATTTTAGACTCTGCGTCCAGGAACCCCATTTAAGATTGCATCTCAGTTTTAATCCTTACTGAAAGAGCATTATCCAAACTACTTTCAAGAAGATACCTGGCAGGTTGCTTAAGTATGAGTACATGCCACCATGGAAAGAGCATTCCAGTTGCTCTGATAAATTTAAAGATCAGTTCTATCTCTGTCTAGTTCTGTGACCTTGAGCAAATGACTTAACTTCTCCAAACCCTAATTTCTGATCTGTGGCATCGTTCACTCTCAGACACTCAGTAGTCACTGAATGCCATAGGCTTCCATCCCTTCATTTTTATTGTGAAACCTGAACTGGAAGTCATGGCAGTGGAGTGAGGTGGATGGTAAACAGACAGAAAAACTCAAAGATAAGGAAATGTCATTAAGAAATAGTGTTTGAAACCTGGCCAGAGATTGATGAGATAGAAGTTCTGGAGTGATAGGGTTGAAATCAAATCAGTTCTAATTCCTCAGTATGGTGGGGGTGAGGGTCCTGCAAACCCTTCAAGGATGCTTCAGTTTGAGTGCATTTTCTCTTCACAATCTAAGATATTGGACCCTAACTACACCGACTGGGTCACTTCACTCTTTTTCATCCACCTGTGTCATTTGATTAGTGACAGCTAAATTAGGAGAAAAGGACTCTCTTGAGTATTAACATGTCTTCTCTGGATACTGGGCTTCTTAAACCCATTTTTTTCAAGTGTTTTTTTCTTTTTTCTTTCTTTCTTTTTTCCTTTGCCTGCCTCAGAATCTAAGGTAGCTATATGAGCAGTTAGAAAAGGTCTTAGGAGAGAGAGGATATTTCCAGCCATGTTAAATGGATAAAAGAATGTGCTACCCACAGATGGACTTTTTCATGTTATGTGTAAGATTGGAATATGTTTCTTATTTATGAGGATGAATAGGGCCCTTCCACACTGTCTTGGTATTTTGCATTTTGCGGTTGTTATTATTAGTTTGTTACCACATATTGTGGATTAATCTTCACCTCTGTTTTCCTTTCAGTTACGGACGAGTTTATGCTGCCGACCCCTACCACCACACACTTGCTCCAGCCCCCACCTACGGCGTTGGTGCCATGGTGAGTACCAACTCCACCTCTTCCTCACTTCTTCCTGCCTCCCTTCCCTTCCCCAGCTGGGACCTTCATATGGGTTGACTGTTGACGTCCTCTCACTTTCCCTTAATTGAATTTGTCTCTTGTGCTAATCTAACAGCAGCTAAAATGCCACATTAATCCTCCCAGTAAACTTGATAAATGTCTTAATTTCTTGGCAATGTAGTGCATGTAAGTTATTATATTTCTAATTTTGCAAGTCTCACCTAGCAGAGCACTTACCTTAATGGAATAATTAGTCATTTTGATAATTAAATCCATCACTAACAGAATGCAGTGTCAATGCAGAACTTTTTTTTTCTTTTTTTTTCCTCCCTTGCTGCTCATTCACATAGCCCCAAGGTTCCAGCCCCAGCACAGACTTCAGAGGAGCTAAGCTGCACACTTCCAGGCCTCTGCTGTCAGGCAGCTGAGAATCTGACTGCCTCTCCTCCCCTATTACAATTCATGTTTAAAGTCATAGTCGCCCAGGAAAGAAAATAGAGAGGGGCACACTTTGTGTGTGTGCCTAGTACATAAGGAATTAGGAAGAATAAGCTGGGTTTGGGGGTTGTCTTTTGTTTTGGGGGGTTTGGATTTTTGTTTGGGGGATGGGGGGAGGGCAAAAAGGGGAGGTGAGGGTGGGTGAATTTGCCTGTACTTGTTCAAACTTCTATGCACTAAAATTCTTGAGTACAGTAAGACGTGCCCATCACGTGAGAGCGTATGCAATCATTACAAAGCTTTTGGCATGCAGCTTTCTGCTTGGGATCAAGAATATCAGTCCTTATCCTAAAACTCAATCCCCATAGGCATTCATTTGAATCGCCAAAACTTTTAGAAAAAAAGAAATAAGTTAAGTGCCACCTTGTAGCTGTCTAAAGCCATGGGCAAACAATTCGCTGGAGCGTGGTCATAGAAATTCAGCCACGATCTGGGAACCATATTCTTTTGTACAAGCTCAGTTACATCAAGCAATTCATCTGTACAACTCCCCTCTTAAGAGCAAATCCTACACAGCTCATTGAGCCAAGTCAAGTAAGAAGCTGATTTAAATTTTCATCCTGATTTTGCATTCAGCAACTCTGCTTCAACACCTAGTCCACTTGAGTTACATGTTGGAAAGGAGAGTTGAATTACTCCATTCAATCAGTCATCTACATTCAACCTCTTGAGTGTAGATTGAGCTTTTCCCGATGGAACATAGTGTTAATGAATCAAACAAGCAAACAGGCTGAGACAGTGTACATCCTTCAGTGGTCCAGTTTGTATCTGAGTCCTTTTAGCTACCAGGACTGGCTGACAGAATTTTATTTTACCAGGGGTTTCTGTATAAGGAGCTTTTGGGGGAGGTCAGGATTGGCCCTATCTCTAGTTTTCCAAGAATGAACTGGGATGGGTAGGGGGTGCCTCCATTTTGGTTGATTTTGAGTGTCTATTTTTCACATTAGTCTTTTTTTGATGATCCACGTGTTGCAAAAGGAAAATGTAAAAAACACACCCCTCAAATTGCTTTGTTTCAGAATGCTTTTGCACCCTTGACTGATGCCAAGACTAGGAGCCATGCTGATGATGTGGGTCTCGTTCTTTCTTCATTGCAGGCTAGTATATACCGAGGGGGATACAACCGTTTTGCTCCATACTAAATGACAAAACCATAAAAACCTTCCAATGTGGGGAGAAAGGAAGCTTTCCGAGGCCTGGGTATTGCAATACATGCAGTAGTGCATCATTTTAGCAACTCTAAAAACTAAAAAGAGGAAAAAAAATTACATTTTTTATCTTATACCTCAGATATTTTGTTCTGTGTATTTTAATATTGTGGGTCTTTAATTTCTGAAGGTTCCGTAGTTTGGTTGCTGGCTGTAGGAGTTTTTTTTGTGGTTGATCTAGAGAGATGCTAGCTATGAATAAAAACTGGTTTAGGGCCATATCCAGAGTGCTTTATCATGTAAATGAATTATATATGCTGAATATTAAGCTACTGGGGTTATCAGCTGTTCGGGAAGAGTGTAAGTGACTACAGTAGTCATTTTTTCTGCATCTGCATTATTTTATTTTATGAAAGGGGAAGGGTGGGAGGGACTTAGGGGATTGGGACTGGGGTTGACTAAATGAAAAAAAAATAGTAACTGATGAATCTAAACGACCCACTGCACCAACGATCATATAGCAATGGTTCTAAGTTACTCATTGTCAGTTCAGGCCAAAGGTTATGCTGTTAAGGGGGTGCTTCTAGCAGCCCTTGTGCATCCAAGTTGAATGAAGCTGTGCAAACCCACCCTTTAAACCATTCCCCCCGGCAGTATTCAGCTTCTTAACCAGCCGCTAGTTATTTAGGCAAAAACTGCTAGTTAGGCCATCAACAAGCATTCTTTTTATATTTCTTCCAGTATAATAAATTATTGATATCATTGCTGACTTTTATATTATGGGAGGGAAAAATAACATTAATAAAAAGGTGATAAAAAGCACTGTTTCTATTTTTTTCTTTTTTTCCAAAAAAAGAAAGTAATAAAAACTTAAATTCTTTGTACCAGTTAAAAAAATGTATAAAATTTACATCTGTGCAGTGGAGTTGTTAAGTTCTAGAAACAGTCTATGAAGCTTTAGTTTTAGCCTAGTAGAACAACTGTTAGAGACAGACGTATAATTTTTATGGAATTACATGATAATCATATTTGGATTTATAGAAGCATTTTACAAGTATTGCAATCATTGAGTAGAGATAATCACGGTATTTTCATCAGCTTGGTACTTTTTGAAACATGACTGTGTTATGTGAGCAACCTGCAATTTTTCAGTACGTGAGAGCCTGCCCCACCATTCATTCCTCTTGGTCCCCAGGGATTATCTCAAATCAGTACCTTTAGTTCTGTCTCCAAGGCCCAGGACACTTGTCAGAAGGAAGCAAAAAAGTAGGTCTACCCTCTTTCTCCCCGAAGAACAGAGTACCCCCACCTCTGAAGCAGGGCCAGAGGGACACGGCCGAAAAATTGCAGTTTGTCTGAATTACTTCTGTTTGAACTCCTTCCATGTTGTCCTGTTTACAAGTTAACCTAAGTTGGGGTATCTGTCACGGGTCTTCCTGTTTTTGTATTTAAATTCAACAAACAGCAGCAAGCTGTCCCCAGTAGTTCTGCTGCCCTAGTTAAATCTTCATGTGTACAGTGCGGGCCCTCTGGCAAGCACTTTAGTAAGTTATCAACTCACCGCTGTGAACCTGCCAATCCGCTGTAACAACTCTGCTTTCAAACAAAACCAAACAAAACTTAAAAAAAAAAGTGTTTGTGATCCAGCATTCTTGTCATCCTATGTGCATGCAGTAAGATCGGTTGGATATTAAACCATCAATAAAGTTTCACAAGATTTGAAAACCAAGTTTCTGTAGCTTCGATATCTAAGGCAGATGACCGTTACCTTGAAATGAGAGAAAGGGGGGAAACTGCTTAGCAGCCCAAAGCATATACAATGTTCTTTTCAGCAGACTTCTTTGGGTGGGGGAGGGAGGGGGCAAAAGGGTGTTTTATAGCATCACTAAGACGTTCTCATTCCCCCACCTGGGAAACAATCTGATGACGATGGATGCCTGGTTGATGTTTTTAAAGACAACAATTTATTAAAATGCTACGGCATCCTACCCTGGAGGGGAGAGAGATCAAAGAGCCCGGGGCTAGGGAGAACAAACAGATTTCTCTCAATTGCCTCAAATTTCACAATTCAGAATTTGCATTGTATTTGGAATCACAAACATAGAATTCTTACTGTGTTGGTTAAAGTAAAATTAATTTGCAGTTTTGATTTTCATCGATGAGCTGTACTTTTCCCCCATGATTGTATGTAGTTTTAATAAAATCATTTAGAGCAAGTGGGTGCCAACTGATGTTGCAGAATCTTTTGTCTAGGCACTCCTCCAAGATGCCAACAAGTCATTTTAAAATGTATGTCAGAGATGTAAACAAACATTTTGGATTTTTTAAAACAGTATTTATTTGGAATGTTTTCATTTATCTAAATAACTATTGCTATTATGAATTATGAAAAAAGATTAATATCATGTGTGGCATATAGTGACTTCTTAAGACACACATCATGCAATCTGCAAACCCAGAAAATGTGTATATCTGTCTTTAGAAATTAGTGTTTATATCACTTACAGTGGTTTGTGAATAAAGAAAACTGGTTTGTAATATCAAAAAATAAAAGCTTAGTCTGAAAAGGTACCTGTGAGTCGGTGTTCTGAGTCCTTTGGCTTCCGCGTGTTTCCTTCAAGGGTACATTCCTAATCCACACATGTGGCTGTACTTGTGTCCATCAGGGGACATGGTGAGGGGCTGCCCAGGTGAGCAGTAGGCTGCCATAGGCACTGGTGGTACCTTCTGCCAGCGCACTGGCTGTTTGGCACACCAGGCTATCCTCAGCATGGAAATGTCAGTCTTTGGATCAACAACCAAAACAAACTGCATTTCACTGAAACATCTGTTCTGGTGATTAATTCAACTTTGGTGACGGGGAGGCTTGTATGATGAAGATGAAAAAAATAGTAAGTGCTAAGTTTACCTTTATTTAGTGCTTACTGTGAGCCAAGAATCCAGCTCAGGTTCTTGTGTTCCTTATTTCATTTAATGATTTAATACTCCCAGCAGGATTGAATTATCTACCCCATTTAGTTATCTTAATAGTATCTTACTCTTATCTCATTCAATTATCTTGATACTCTTAGCAAGTTGGTAACACATTCAAAGGTTTTAAAAATGTGGGATCTAGAAGCAGATGCTGTGAGTTTGAGTCCTGATTCTGTCACCTGCTAGCTGCAACCCAGGACAAGATGAACCAAAGTTCTGTGCCTTTGTTTTTCATCCATAAATCAGGATGTTAGTAATACATGCCTCTTAATATTGCTGTGCAGAATAAATAAACAATCTATGTGATGGGCCTGCAGCGTACTTCATAGTTTTTTTTAAAGATTTTATTTATTTGTTTTTTAGAGGGAGGGGAAGGGAGGAGAAAGAGAAGGACAGAAACATCAATGATGTGCGAGAGAAACACAGATCAACTGCCACTCACACACCCCCAACTGAGGATCTGGCCCTCAACCCAGGCATGTGCCCTGACCGGGAATTGAACCAGTGACCTTTCAGTTTGCAGGCTGGCACCCAGTCCACTGAGCCACACCAGCCAGATCCAAACTTCATAAATTGTAAGCTATTCTTATTTACAGTGAGGAAACTGAGGCACAAAGAAGTTAAGTTACCTGAAATCACACACCAAGCAAGTGACAAGGCCAGGCATTCCAAAACAGGCATCTTTAGCTGTTGGGAAATATTCTCTCCTGGCTCAATGAGAACTTTTAGCTTTCAACTTTAGAAATGAGAGAGCGGTCTTACCCTGAGTGCGACACACAGCTGTATAACATATAACGCAGGCTGTCTTAATAGCAATTATTACACCATGCCAAGTATATTTAATGGCCCCTTCTCTGTAAACTCCTTATAGTATAGTGAACTGTGAGGGTTACAATGAACTTTCATTACCCTATGTCAATTGATCCTTGAAAACAGCATTGCTCTCATTTTATAAG